CAATCTCTTTCTCTGCAATCTAGAAAGCCAGGAGTGCTAATAGGTGCATTTATTCCACAAGGCAGGGAAGGGTCAGTAATTTTCGGATCTAATCATCTTTTTAACTATGTTCACATCCTCAGTTACCTGCTAGATCCTGCTGCTGGTACAGAGAGGGTGGGGAACAGACCACACTGGGCATGATTCAGAAAATAAACATACCCAGTGTCCCTGCAGCTGCTCAACGTTGGTCACCCCAAGTCTGACCCTGAGTGCCTCTGAATGCTCAGATTTTATTTAAAATGACATTTAAAAAATGTTCTTTGAATATTTCATGCAAATATATAAGTGTCAGAAATTCAAAAAGAGATGGTGCCCAGATGGGAATTCCCTGGCTAAAATACATACATATAATAATATAAACATCTTACAGTTTTAACAAAAAGAAAAACTTAATACGCTGAAAATCAGAAAGTCAATTAATACTTTCTTTGGAAATAATATACATGTCTGCTTTTACTTTTTTACTTTCCAGGGCCTATTTTGTGTTTGGGCATGCAAAAAAAAAAAAAAAAAAAAAAAAAAAAAAAAAAAACCAAAAAAGTACCATTCTACTCTTAGGCATATGGTTGATATGAAGAATGTAAATGACACCTTTATAATGATCAATACTGCTGCAACAGCATTGTACCTGCCCCAAATCACACAAAGTTAAATTATATAAGCAATCTTTAGCAATGCTGGCAAAGTTTTGAATGACTATGGACATGATTTACAGGTACTGGCGAGGACCAACTTGACTTGACTCAGTACTGAATTAGTTTGAAATTACCACTTCCTACCTGCCTTTAGTTTGCATGTGGCATTTGCTTGGTGGGTTTCGATGATGTCGTCTTTCCTAGATTTCCACAAGTCTAAGTGACTTGTGTTGGAAGACAGGGAAAAACTGTATTAATAAGGACTTACAACTATAAATTCGTTGAAATTAGATAAAGTGATGCTGTAACTTGAAAACTATCTGAACTTCATAGAAGGTCCAGGCAAATGGTAATTCATTTGAGATAAGAACTAACAGGCATAATAAACACATGGTCTGGGATGGGATGGAGAAGATGAAAGAAAGGAAGCAAAAGAACACTGCTGTGGTTTGGATGTTTGTCCCCACAGCCTCACCTTGAAATTTGATCCCAATGCTGGAGGTGGGGTCTAATGGGAGGTGTTTGGGTCTTGCACTTTTCCAGATATCAGAATCATGAGCCAAATAACCCTTTTCATTTTATAAATTATCCAGCTTCAGCTATTCCTTTATGGCAACACAAATGGATTAAGATAAAAAGGCCAAGCACCAAGCAAGTTCTAACAGAAAATAATCACTACAAAATATTTTTTAATGGTGAGATTTCTTTCAGATATTCTCAACTTTTCAGTTTACGGGAGCAAATTGACACACATTTTAATATCTATAAGTAAATTCATATTATCAGTATTAGTTAACTCCATTTTTATTTATTTCTAAGTTCTTAATTCATTGATTCAACAAATATTTATGCAACAGGCACTTGTTAGACTCTGAGGATACAATGTTGATCAGCTCCCTGTTTAATGGAATTTAGATTATTACAGTGACTGATAATAAACAAATTGTCACATAATTATATGTAGTATTACAAGCTCATTAAATGCTATCAAGGAAAGATACATGATGTCTTGGGAGAGTTTGGTCTCTCAAGCAGGGCTAAAGAAAGCTTTCCTGAGGAGTGATGATGGAGCTTAGGTCAGAAAGGCAGGAGAGATTTAACAAGGGATGAGTCAAACTCATTGCTGCTTGCATCATTACAGTCTTGATGGAATTTAACATCCAGAATTATAGCATTCCATGAACACTTAGTCCAGAACAAATGGATCCCCTGTGCTGGAGTTGTTTTCTGGGAGAGAATTCAGGTGTTTGTGAGCCTTAACTAAGCAAAAGACCACAGAGCTCTGCTAAAATGTGGCCAATTCAGGAGAAATGTGAAGATTTTATTGGCAGTAGATGGTGTAATTACCACTGTGAAGATGAAGCATATACTTCTCTAATCTCTGGTTTTGAAAATGTTGACAAAATCCAGTCTGAATTGCTATGAATAACTGAAAGCCTTTGAAAGGCAAGAATTTCCAAGATGATTATTATTTCAGCTCTATTTCCAGAATACATTAATTTGTTTCACTTTTCATTTTAATCCACAGCATGGCAAACATCTGCTGAAAATACCTGCTGTCTCCATCTCTGGAATGTGCCAGCTGAGTCTGAACAAGACTCTCCTTTTACTTTTGAGGTCCCTATTCAAGAGCAAAACATAATCTGGATAGAAGAACCAAATCTAAAATTAGGCCAGATCAGAGCTCTACCAGTCTACCCAGACACTTGATATGTTTGTTCTGTCTTCAGAGAAATGTATTCAGGAAAACGTTGAGGAAAATAATACAAAGAGGACACAGAAACAAAAATAAATTATTGCTAGGAGGGATTTTAGAAACAATCTCTTCCGAGGCTTAGTCTTGGAAATCTGGACAGCTGCTAGTTGGTGGCAGAGCTAGACCTACAACCCGGGCTTCTGCCTGATCCCCAGTGCTCTCCTGTGACAAACAGGCCTTCCTCCCCATCATTCTTACCATGGCCTCCCTAATCTGACATGAACTGGTATGCTAATACCCTCAGTTAGGCCAATAGTCTACTGTGAGCAGACTACTTTAATTGTCTACAGAGGACAACTCTGCCAGGATATTTCAGCACCATTTAATAAACTATCCATGAGTTTTCAGTATACTACATGTACCCTCAAGGCTTAGAAGAGAGTCAAAAATCACCGCTCATAACTGGATTGTCAAAGCTAAGTTTACTCACTACATAAACAGAGCTATTGTGTATTCAAGGCATTTCATATAAATATTTCATAACAAATAATTAAACATCAAAGAAGTTTATCAATCAGCTTTATTTTGCTAACATAACATTAAGAAAATTAAGTATTTTTTGTTCTATAGTATCATGCACATAAAAACAATGCTAATTGTAAACTGGATACAGTACAACTTCTGCTATCCCAATTAAAAGGTAAAAATGCTATTTATAAATCACTTTATCCAGTCATTATAGCTATAAATATATAAACCTATCTAAATCTTCGGTGGCATTTTGTTAAAGTTCTGTATTTCCGCCAATCCACTAAAGCAAGTCAAATGTTAAGATCACACTAACTTTTCAATATGATTTCAAAAAGAAATTAAAATCAATTAAAATTACCTAGTTGAACTAGGTATGTACATTCTTTCAGTTCTATTAGCCATGAATCTCAGGAGTCAAAGTCAATTGAGTCAATAAAGGAAAACCAAAATAGGAAATTTGATTCAAGTTCTAATTCATAAAATGTCTCTATTTCTTGCATGAATAAAATGGATTTGATAATAGTTATTAACCCAATTACAGGAAAGTACAGGTAGAGACCATCTAGTAGTCAATTATAAAGTCTGAATACATTCATAAAACAAAAGTATTATGCTATTATCACTGCAGCCATTGTTTAAGTAAGTATTTGGTCCTTTAAGCTTCTGCATATTTAAGAAATATATTTTTGTTATCAAAATTGGGTCGGTTTCATCTAGAGGTCTTGAAATAACAGCAAAATCACAATAAGACTACACAATAAAAATTCCAATATGTTGTGTTATATTTTTTCTCTTTCTTGACTGCAAGTTATGACAGTGAAGTGCAAAGTAGAAGCTTTCAAAAACCAGCTTTAAGCAAAAAAGAAAAAAAAATACAGACAGCTAAAACATCCTTAAGCATGCAATCACTTGAATAGAATATTTTGCAAGATGTTTTCAGGAGTGCTAAGAATTCAATATACCAGCTTCCTTCAGAAACAAAATCAAACATTTGCCTTCAACTTTTAAAGCTTCATAACAAGACAAAGTAGAGAGTTTCATTCAAATGAACAGTATTTCAAAATGTGTTTCCATCAGTCCTTTGGTAAACAAACAAAAAACAGTAAAAGCTCCTAAAGGATAATGCTCACTCATCATTACTCAAAATTTTCAGAAACACATTTTTCACATGCATGGCAAATTTCCAAGCCAAAGGATTAATGACAAACATTAGAACTTAGGTCTAAAGTTTGCCATGTCTTTAAAAGTAGTCATTTTCCTTTTTTATTTTTGACATACCACTGTTAAGACTGAAGTTTCTTGCATTTCAGCAATAAATATTAAATACCACTTTTCTGGTTTGGCTCATCCTTGTGAAAAGTATTACTGTCAGTGCAGAGGAAAACACATTTTGTTTGAAAAATGAAACCACATGCTTCAGTTGTCTACCACCGCTGGTGGGTTGTTTTTTTTTTTACAATGTAGATAAATTGAACAACCTAAGCTCAACAATTATGTGTAATATATCTGTGGGTTGGAATTCAGTTACAGTGGTCTTAAAAGAGTTTAAGTTTTCAAGAAACTTAAAAAACTTTTAAAATGCTGCACAAAGTCAGACAGAGCTCTTTGCTACACACTGTAATCTGATACTAGGCTGAAGAAGTTGACTAAGTTTAAGTAACCCAAGAGGAACTGTTTCCTGCTTTCAGTTAGAACAGTCTACAATGACCTATAGTAACACTGCCGAGGCAGAGGTTACTATCGGGCATTAGATGCTGCTACTATCAGGAAGTCAGTTGAGTCGTTTTCTTTTTTTTTTTTTTTTTGCGGTATGGCACTCATCTCAAGTGTTTGTCTGTAAGAATTCAACCCTGCTCTCCCATTGAGTTTACAAAGACAAGAAAATCCAAAAGAAGAGTTGGAAAATGCACCCAGGCCAACTACATAGCTCCCTCTTCACCTCAACAAAAGGTCTGTGCCATGGAAAACAAGCCATGAAGGAACTCAGTCGGTATCAAAACAACCTTGCCTGTGAACCTGTCTGGGAAGGTGCAACCGTCCCTTCTAAAGGGAATCAAAGATCTCTTCGACATAGGTTTACTTTAGCGTGGCTTTACCTAGTCTGCTCCTGTAAGATGAGATGAGGCTCCACGAAGAACTTCACTCTCAGTTTAAGCCGGTAGGGGGCTAGCCCATCCATCTGCTGGGAGATCCGGTTTCTTAGATTTAGCCATAAACTTTCACCTTTGCTACCCGTAAACTGCAGTCCAAAATAATCAACTTCTATGATTCCCAATCGCCTGCACACCTAAAACAAAAATGAATGCAGCACGGATGAGCAATTGGTACATGTCAAAGCAACCAAGGGCTCTTTCCGAGCCTAAGATTGCCGCATGCTTTTTACAAAGTTCAACGGTGTTAGGATTCCTGATCTAAACTGGAATAACAAAGTTCTAAGCGATACTAAACCACGAGCTGTCGCATGTAGGCTTGTATTTCCTTTAATATCTAGGGCATGATCCATTGCAGTAGGAAAAAAGCAGTCCTCAAAAGTAGCCTTCCAAAAGGCTCAGAGGAACCACGGGGTATTTTCCTTCTTATTCCAATCACCGGAATCCCTCCACCAGCACAATCTGCACAGCTGATTTGGCGGCTTATTATCTGGACAATTTTAACCATCTGGACTCCAGAAAACAAACACATTGAGGGAACACGCCACAAGTGTCAGCTAAGCTTTACAAGCGGTTTTCCAAACATCTCAGGTCCAGAGGGTTTGTGGGCACAGCGTTTCACTGGGATTAAACTGCTGCCTGCCATACCAACTATGCACCGTTTGGAACCGTTTTTCTGCACTCTTAAGGAAACACATGCGTAAAGACAACCGAGCAGCAGATGACCCACAACGACAGTCCTCTGGCCCCCGCGAATCCGGAAGATGCAGGTGAATGGCCCATCTGAGTAACAGCCTCAGCAGCAGGATGAGAGAAGGGCCCGGCTTGTCTGCCGAGGAACCCCGGGGCCCGCCGCCTGATTCGAGCCACCCCATCCTGGGACGCAGAAGACGCTGCCAGGAGCCGCGGGGACCGGACAGGTGGGCATCACGCACACACACCTGCGGCAGGTGTGCTGAGCCGCCTTATTCCGGGAAAGTGCCGGGTTGGGGGGCTGGGTGGCGGATCTCGGCTGCCTAGTGTGCCCGCGCCCGTAGCGCTGGGACCCCTGCCGCGCGCGTCCCCCGCGGGCCCCACGCGCTCCGGGAACGCCAGGGAGGGGGCCGCGCGCCCCACGCCCGCGGGGAGGAGGGGGCGCTCCGGGAGCCTGGGGTGCGCTCCCCCCCGGCCGCCGCCGCCGCCGCAGCGCCGCCCGGCTCCTGGTAGGCGACGCGCCCCGGCGCCGCTGCGAGGCCCCTCGGCCTCGGGGGACCGGCCGGGGTCCCCGCCCGGCCCTCGCCCTCACCTGGTTGAGGCAGTCCTCGCCGTTGGCTTTCGCCTCCACCTCCACCTCCATCAGCACCGCGTCCGGCCTCGTCACATAGCACAGCATGGCTGGGGCCGCCGCTGCCGCCACAGCCGCCTCCTCTTTGGTGCGCGCGGGGCTGCCGCCTCGTCACGGCTCGGACCCAGCCCCGGGCTCGGCGAGCGCTGGCCCTCGGAAGGCTGCAGCCCTGCGGACGCCTTCCCTGCGCCCCGCGGCCGCCCTCGCGTCCCCGCCACCCCCTCGCCCGCCGCCCGCCGGCTCCCCCTGTGCTCCGCTGTAGCGCCGCACTCCAGCAGCCCAACTGCCTGCGCCGCGACAGGCACTCCTCCGATATAGCGGCCCCGCCCCCTTCGGCTCGGGCCCCCGCCAATCACGGCGCCCGCGCCCCTCCTCCGCCGCCCCTCCAGCCAATAGCGGCGCCCGCGCGGCCGCCGCCCGGGCCTCCCAGCGCCGGCTGAGTTCCCCGGGCCGCCTGGGGAGGTGGCAGCTTGCGGGCGCCGGCTGCTGCGGGAAGGAGGGAGGCCCCGGAACACTCCCGCTGCCACTGCCCGCTGGGCGACGCTGCTCGGAGCGAGCTGTCGCCCGCGGCTCGAGGCGGGGACGCCTTTCTGTCGGGGCTGGAGTTGATGATGATTAAAAGCCTCCACGCTGCCACTCTTCTTCAGAAGCCTTGGGTCACTCCAATAACGCATTTCGGTTGTGAAAGCAAGAAGGAAGAGGAGCAACCCGGAGCCCATAGAAAACCGCCTTCCACCGAGGTTTGCCTCAGTGGGTTGTTGGAAGGCGAATTGTTGCTTATTTTAGACCTCACCATTGAGAAAACAAAATCTGAGTATAAAAGTTTTTGCAGTTGACAGATAAGCCAGGTAGCTTGGTCTGGTAGTGCTTCTTATGTTAAACCTCTCCAAGAGCTCCTGTTTACCCGTTCTGCTGAATCAAAACACCCGACAGGGCACCAGGCCCTCTCTCAGGTTGCCCATGCTATCTGTGTCTTATCTCATTCATTCGCTAAACATTCCATGAACACCCGAGACCCTGCCTGTCCCTTCTCTCAAGCGACCGATGTTATCCCCTTTTTAAAGGTAAGGGGCTCATCTGAGCACCTAGTGGTAGTAGTAGCTATTAATAATGAAAGGTCTACAATTCTTCATTCATTTACAACTTGCCTCTCTTTGCCAATACATTACTTAGCCTACTTCTTTCATGTCTTTATAGAAGAAGCCAGAAGATGTGGGCTTCAGCCTTGGACTCTTGGAAAACTGAGTTCATTTCTCTGAACCTCGGTGTTGTCAACAGTAAAATGGAGACCACGACGTCTGCTGTGCCTTCACCTAGCATTGCTGCGAAGTACAGCAAATATAATAATGTTTATAAACACATTTAAATGCGCTTGTGTATATAAGGAAAGCTATAAGGTCAGCTCTGGCACTGCGTGCTAATGACTTCCGTTCCTACTCCTTTTCTTTTATTTCTGATCAAGTAGGAAGGACAGAGCAGAGCTAATTGGAGGGATCCTACCACCGTCCTTCACTCAAGCCAACTCTGAGTAAAACTGTAAATCGTCCAAGTCCTGCCCCGCTATGTTACAGAGGGACATGTGCAGTCTCACATCTTTTTTTTTTTTTTTTTGAGATAGAGTCTTGCTCTGTTGCCCAGGCTGGATTGCAATTGCACAATCATAGCTCACTGCAGCCTAGAACTCCTGGCCTCAAGTGATCCTCCAGCCTTGGCCCCCCACAGTGCTCTCTCACAGGAGTGAGCCACCCTGCGGGCTTCTTTTGTCTCATGAATACACCTCATATTATTGTGTTGCTGAAATAGTCCCTCCCTCCTGTTCTCATTCCCTTAATTCCAGTTTACTAATTTGGGAAATTTATCTGGGAGATAGCATTTGGATCATTGTTACCTAATTTACGTGGAATTGCTAGAAATTTCAGAACAGGGAGAAGAGATGAGGGGCAATATTGAGGCCAGTTGTGTTGATTACTATTTTTGTTTATGAGCAACAGAAACCCAAGCTGGCTAACTGGAAGCTCATAGCATCAATGGGGACCAGGCAGGGAAATGAGTAGAAAGGGGACATATTGGTTGGCCGAGAACAAAAAAAATAAAATAAGCAAAAACCAAAACCAAATACCCATTTTGTGGAGAGACTATTTTAAAAATAGCTTATATGTTTGGTTTTATCAGGGATATTTCTTTTTTCTTAGGTATGATTTCATATTTATTTTTAAAAAAATCTCAGCATGTAAAATAGTTTGTAGAAGGACAAAGTCTGGCAGGTTTTATTTATTTATTTTAAAACATTTTTTGATAGAGACAGGGCCTCACTGTGTTGCCCAGGCTGGTCTTGAACTCCTGGGTTCTAGCAATCCTCCCGCCTCAGCCTCCCAAAGTGCTGGGATTACAGGAGTGAGCCACTGTGTCCAGCCTTATTTAAAATAATTTTTACATCCTGAGAGAAAAATTAGCCGGGTGTCATGGCGCATGCCTGTAGTTCTAGCTACTAGGGAGGCTGAGGCAGGAGGATTGCTGGAGCCCAGGAGTTTGAGCTTGCTGTGAGCTATGATGACGCCACTGCACTCTACCCCAGGTGACAGAGTGAGACCTTGTTTCAAAAAAAATTATTTTTAAATTCTTATATATTATTTTTAACAATCATCACTTACAAAAGAGTTAGAGGTTTAAGATTGACGAGGATATTTCTAATTCAAACCCAGATCCTGCTTCTGCTATGGGATAGTTGGTAAAGATTTCAGTTGTTTTGAAATTAAGAATCACCAGGTAACACTAAAGAGAAGAAGAATTTCTTAAAACAAAACAAAACTAATAACAGGAAAACAGCATTTGGGGAGGGGGAGAAATCCTTATGATTGGGAAGAAAAAGAATCCTGGTTTCTACCAGCGTATAGGAGATATATGAGACTATGATCTTTCTCCCTTTCTCTCTTTCTCTCTCTCTCATCTCTGTCTTTCAATTTCTTCCTTAAGTAGAGACAGGGAGAGACTGGTTAGTTAAGGAATGAAGAGGCAGAGTGAGCTAGTGAGAAAGCACATTATGCTCAAAAGACCTGGTTAGGGAATAGAAAACCCACAGTAGAATTACTTCCTAGAGGATTCCGCCATCTGCTAATGCTACTGAACGTCTGGAGCCAGTTTCAAGCCCCAGCTGGGTCTAACTCCAAAATAAGAGACTCTGAACACCCGGGGCTGGGGGTGGGAACTATATTGGATTGAGCCGTGATTGAAGCCAGGGAGAGGTGCCTAAGTTATCTGTGCCTGCTTTCTTTTGCTCTCAATTAGCTATCATCTTTTAAAGACAGCATTAAAATTAACCAGTATGGTGAAAAGGTCAGCTATATGCGTACATATTATTAAAACAGAAACCATAACTAAGTGGTAGAGAGTTGGCTAAGGCAGTGGAGTCCTAGCTGTTCCAACATACCCAAACACCACGGATTTTCTCTCTGTCTCATATACTAGAACTCAAGACTGAGCACTAGATAATATTTGCAGGACGTGATGCCATGGTTATTTGGCCACAAAATCTTTCTTCCGGTGGAGCACTAGGTCTGATCTGAATGGCTGGGTACCTATGTCTGTGCAACACTGCATGCACCACTGCAAAAGCCTGCGCTGAGCCAAAGGGAAGGCCCTTCTGGAGAAGAAGCACCTTCATTGCCTGCCACACCCTTCTCCTCACCTCTCAATGTTCATTTGTAGGAGCACCGAGGGAAGAACAATTAGTGGTTGCCTAAAATCTTGCCCTTTTGCTCTCACACATTATTCAAGCTAATTATTCATCTAAGAAATGCTTCACTGAGCACAAGTGCGTCAGAATGTGTTGAAGTGAGCTGAAATCTCTAATTTGAAATATTAAGACTTGTGAAATTCAGGAGTAGTTTAATTTGATCCTGGCTTACCAACAGAGCAGAACATCTCATTTCTAAAACTGGGTGTGTGCAGAGAAAAAGAAGGAATGGAGAAAGAATGAGGAGCACCCATGTTAAAAACTCTGGGAGATCTAAAATGACATTGTTTTAATTAGCAGGCAGTTTAAACGATTTTTTTTTTCTAGTTATGAGAATACTTACTGTTCATAATAGACTACCTGAAAAAGACAGCAAAGTACAAGGGAAAAAATGAAGTACCTATAAATTTACCAGACATTTCTATTTAGTAATGATGTTTTACTGTTGTGCTTTGCATACAATGTACTCTAACTATTGATTGTGATATAATCAAACACTGCACATTAATTTCTGGAAACATATCAAGAGAGCAAGAGAGACTTGGATGTGGAGATCCAAATCCAAACCCAGTGTTTTGAATATCAGGAAAATTATAACCAGAAAGAACAACAACCATGCAAAAATAATTCCAACAATTATTGTTTCTCAGCTCCCTTCGTTTCTTTTCTGAAATACTAACCTTTCTTACATTTGTTTTCCTTCTCACTGCTAAGATGCTCTGAAAGGTCATATTTTGTGATATGCTTACTTGTTCAACATCTGTTATTTGGTTGAGAGATGCTCAGAGCTGGGAGATAATTTCCAACTTGGCTCGTTTTGTTTAACAATAATGTTTTTGATTACTTACCTGTTACTTATGGAAATCATCAGTGGTTAGACATGTGATTTTTGAGTTGCTTATCAAGTTTGGTGATATATAGGTGCTGATTCACCCACAAGAGAGTTCACCCATCATTCTGATTTTGAATGAGATTGGACCAATGTTGGGGATGCAGTTGAGAGCTGTGGAAGAGAACAGACAACCAATCTGCCCGAGGCTCAAACTTACAAACCTATCCTAACTGGTAGGTGTTCTAACGAGCTGATCTGTAATGACACCTCTCCTGGCCCTTCATGCCTGAGCATGCCTTTCTGCAAAGGATAGAGGGACCAACCTGATGTTCTGTGTGAGAGGGTGGGGCACAGAACTTATGGGGGTGGTTGTTCCCAATATCAGTGGCACATTAGAAGTACCACCTTTCCAGAGAAAAAGCGACAATTGTTAGAAATGCTGTAGAAATACCCAAAGTACATGAAATCAGTCAGTTGTGTAAGTTGTGAAAATGACAAGCTTTTGAGCAAGAAGATAGAAAACAAGATAAAAACTATGAGCATTTTGGAATTAGGCAACTTCTCATTAAACGAGCATTTTGGAATTAGGCAACTTCTCACTAAACTTCAGTTACATCATCTCTCTCCAGCTTTTTTATTGCTGCTGACATTTGCATAGTTTATACCACTTGGTATGCAAACCTTACCTTCCTTCAGTTATTCAATATTGTGTCCTTGCTG